TCGCCACAGCAACACAGCATGAGCAAGAGGCATGGCTTCCCGGGGACCGGGGAAAGTGCAACAGAAGAAGCTGTTGCAAGAGATCCAAAGGGACTGCAAATAGCGAGCTTGTTACGCTTAAGAAACAGCCCACGTTCCAGGTAACGGCCTTAATAGTATCATTATAACAAGGGACCACCAAAATAGCACACNNACACCTTAAACCCTAAACCCCAAACTAGAACCCCAGAGGTAACTATTTAGGCCCCTAAAAATGAGCCGTACTCACATGAGGGTTTCCGAAAATAGGGGACCCTCATATAGTACCCTAAATAGTAGATTCCTTATTATAAGGACCCCCAAAAAAGGTAGCCCTTATTTTCGAAAACTCCCATATAGCTCATCATGGACCCGGAGATAGTACCCTAAATAGTAGGATCCTTATTAACAGGACCCCAAACCCCTTATTTTCGGAAACTCCCACATGGCCGAATCACAGGATGCTCCGAGGAGTGCTGCAGGGCCCTGCCTTCCATCTCCTTGTCGAAGAGCGGACCTGGAGCTGTCCAAAAGGTTAAGGCTTTAGTGGTTATGGGTTTAGGGGTTTAGGGGTTTAGGGGTTGGGTTTAGGGTTTAGGGTTTAGGGGTTTAGGGTTTAGGGTTTAGGCTTTAGGGGTTCAAGGTCGCAGGCTTAGGGATTTAGCGCCGGGGTTTCAAAGACATTGCGGGAATTTGTGGTGGAGCAGTCTCAGAAAAGGTATGGCGGGTTTTGCTACCACAAAAAACTCAAAACTCATGATCTTCTCAATGCGGCGCCGGTGCTCTCAACCCTAAAAAAACCCAAGATCCTAAATGCTACACCCCAAAACCTTAAACTCCAAACCCTGATCCCTACAGTCCTCACTTTTAATCCTTTGGCCTTAAGCTTAAACTCAAACCCGAAACCCCGTATCCGAAATCCCCGAAACCTTAAAACCCGAACTGGGAGCCCCAAATCCTAAATCGCTTAACCCTAAAACCCCAAAACGCCAGGCCCTTTCCCCAACCCCAATGTCGCCTTCTGAGCTGCTTCGCATCACCACGCTCCTGCTTAGGGTTGAGGGTTTAGGGTGGAAGCTTGAGGGTTAAGGGTTAAGGGTTTACGGTTTAGGGTGCAGGGTTTAGGGTCGTCTTGATACTGCTGTGCCAAAGATCATTGTTCTTCTCAGAACCGTCAGCTGACTCTTCTACTTGAAGAACCTTACAACAGGCCACTAGCCGCTAGCCACAGCTTCTGCAGTCGCCAAAGAAGTCTGGCAGCAGCAGCAGCAGCAGCAACAACAACAACAACAACTACAACAACAGCAGCAACAACCACCACCACCACCACGACGACTACTACTACTACTGCTGCTGCTGCTGCTGCTACTGCTACTACTACTACTACTACTACTACTACTACTAAGACGACGACTACTACTTCAGCAATAAGAACAAGAATCGAGGCAATAGTAGCGATAGCGACAAATGACAAATACCTAAGCTGCCGTGATACCAGTGTAAGCATGACTCCGATAAGAAAAGTGTATCAGAGCAATGCCTGTAATTATTGCAGATGGTGATGACGACGGTAACGACGCCTACACACAAACATAGTGCAGCATACATGCATGCATACGTACGTACGTATGTGCATACACAACATGAGATGCCATGACATGGCATAGCATGGCATGGCATGACGTGGCATTACCTGACATTCACTCTGCGAAGCAATGCGGGGTGCGGGTGCAGCGCCTGTTCCGCCGTTTGCCGACGACGCCTCGGTGTACGACTGCAATCTAGGGGTGTGGTGGTTTACTTTAGGTTTTGGAAATTTAGATGTTTTCCATATGCCGTTTTCCATCTGCAGAACGACGACTTCAGGGTTTGAGACTTCCGGGGATTAGGAGTCTAAGGGTTCTGGGTTTTGGGGCTCGTGCAGCTTAGGGTTGACGGCTGGGGTGCTTAGTCTAGCGGGCTAGTCTCGCAGGGAGCTTGCCACATGGCAACGCACTGCATTGGGTGAGACCCAGGACAAACTCATGCTCATGACAAGAATGTTTCGAGGAAACCTCCATCTTTCTTAAAATCTAGTGAGCGCAGTCAGAGCCATGTCAGTGTGAGTACCGAAGCGTAGGCTCGGAAGCAAATCTCAAATGTACAAAAATGTTCAGGCTGGGTGCGGCAAAGAGTGTGATTCCGCCTGTTTTACGCTGTGCTGAGCCCTGTGCTTGAGGCAGCCCCCGTTATCCGGGCGATGGACATCTTGCTCAGCCTAGTTGCAGGCAGTTGCAAGAACAACTCAATGGTAGCTGACAGCTATGTAGTTGTCTCAGTTTAGAGCTGCATTCCCGAATTGGCAGACACAAAGACGATGGTCAATGTGACCGTCACGATGATATACCTGGCGCCGGCGTGGATGTCAGCTAGGTTGGAAATCTGTCAAAAAGGGGTAACAAAACCTACGTCTCCTTCCACCCTAAACCCTAAACCCTAAACCCAGCGCACGGCAAGGAGGCAAATGTTAGAAGCACCGACATGGACTCCACGATCGATTGGTCCTTCAAGCGCTCGGGTTTAGGGTTTAGGGTT